TTAAAGAATGCACAATCATTCATTGAATAGATATTGTGTCCCTACTATGTACCAGGGTTTTGTTCTGGAAAAAGTTAGATGAAATTTCTGTCTCAACAGAGCCCACATTTTAGTAGGAAAATAGTTGATAAATATGCGAGTAGATACAAAATACGAAGTTGTGTAGTGGTGAATTCTATGAACAAAATAAATTAGGAGAGAAGGTCAGAGAGTGGCACATTAAGCTAGGGTGTTGGGAAAATTTTTCTGAGGAGTTGAGAACTGAGTGGAAACTGGATTTAAATAAAGAAGGAGAATCATATGAAAATGTGAGTTTTACTGGAAGGAGACGTTGCAGTCTCTGAGGCAGAACAATGCTTGATGTATCTGAAGAACAGCTAGGAGGCTAGTGTGGAGGACAATGAGCAAAAAGAAGAATATGCACTGTGATCGAGAAGTCACTAGCAGCTGAACCTTGTAGGATCTTGTAGGCCATGATAGGCTTTTGGACTTCAGTCCAAGGGATTTTTTAACTCTTGAACAGTTAATGACTTTATTTTAGCATAAGATGTAGTACTAAATTTTGTTGGAAAATGAAAAACAAAATCAGTGACCCTCAGTATAATGCCTACTTGTTTTGCTATGTTTCCTTTATTTCATCTGTGTTGGGTTGCTGTCCTACAAGCCAAATATTAAATAACACAATTAACAGTTTAATTAGAAACCTATGGTCTAATTCAGACTTCTGAAGGTATGTTGCAAAACTAACTCCACTGAATTTCATGTTGCTAAGCTACCATGAATTCAACACCTTTTGAAATTAGAATTTTAAACGTTAATTATTTTATAATAGATGAGAAATACCTTTGTATATTTATATTTGTAACTGACGGTGTGGAAGCTGAAACATATCCCCTAACACATGATAATTAATCTACCTCTTTATATATATATTAGGGATCTGTCACATGCTTTCTAAGGAGAAAGGTGAGAACATCACACCTACGACCCTTATGTGAACTCTCTTTTGAAACAGTGCTTACAGTTGATTCCAAAAGAGTAGTACTTTTGGGAAGATTTATATTTTATTCAATTGTAGGCAAACTAGATTCCCTATGCCTCTTTTCAAGTCGCTGTATCAAAGCTGTAACTTCCAGTCTTTAAAAATGGGATATATGGATGACCCTCAGGGTGGCCCTGAGGAATGTTCTGTTCTGTTATCTACCAAACACACAAGCTGAGAAATGGCCCACATAACTTTTCCATTTCTGCCTGAGAAAGGCAGATATATATATATATTTTTCCATCTCTGAGGGACTCAACAGAGCGATTCAAAGCCAGGCTAGTCAAGGAGAGAGTCCATTCTGAACAGACGGTGTTTGCAGGAATTTATCAACTTCTATCGGGACCTTCTATTCATTTCTACATTGACGTGCATGAACATATATACACAGAATTTTAGAAAGTATGAGACTGACTTTAGAATGTGAAGTGTCTGTGAATGTGACTACCAAATTCTTATCAAAATGCCAAAACGTTAAAAACTATAATTTTGCTTTGTTAATACTTTGTGAATGCAGTTTCCATTACTACTGTGTTCCTATGCTGCAGTAAAAAAAAAGTTCAGATTTTAAAGGTTCTTAAGTTTCTAAGCTATTGATGTTGCCTACCAGAAGGAGGCAGGCAATGGTCTGAATATGCCTTTCCTATTGTGGCCCTGAATTGTAAGCCTTCAAGTCTTCTTAAAACAAAATTAATAACCATAATAGTGTCTAATAATAACAAGCCAGTTATCCCCAACTCAGGGAGGACAGAAGGCAGGCAAGTGATGATAATCTACTGAGTTCGTATATTTGCAGAGAACAAGAAATAAGAATAAGTAGTTTTCGTTCCTTTCAAGATAACTGCAAAAGAGCTCTGTGAAGACGAAGGAGCTGGGGTGTATTTCTAAAATGATATCAACTAAATATAAAAAAAAAAACCTCATAAATAGGAGTAAGGGCAAGTCTGACATAACAACATAAGAAAGCAGTAAGAGGGGCACAAACCTCTCCTTTTCAGATATGGAGGATGCACTGTTACTGTCACATAGATTTTGGAACAATAAGTTAGTCTTAACTTCTGTTTCATCAGTCATCATGAGGCATATATACCATCTATATGATTTTCTGGAAAAAGTGGATGAATGAAATATCAACTGCAAGCAAATGGGAAAATAGATGCAATCTTAAGAAATGTTTCCAATTAACATTTTGAATTCTACTGTTACTACTGTTGCTGCATTTACTTTGAGAACACTGACAATGTTTTCCAAGTCTTCCCCATGTACTGAGAGAAAAAATACATTTTTCATTAACACAATTTTCATTAACACTGAGATCTAAACCAAGTACTGGCTTTACTGGAGCAAACCAATGCATGGGTCACAAAGTTGAACAGCACTTACAAGTTCCCTCTCAAATTATATGAACTAAAGGTATTGAACATCTGAGAGACAAACTGTAAAACTATTCCATTCCGCCCCCTCCCCAACAACAACAACAAAAAAAAAACAAAACAATACATAACTGGGAGGTTTGCTTTATTTCATTGCATTTGATCCTGGGCTAGCCGGAAGACTATTTCCAGGACATAAGGTTAACTTAACTCTTAATCATATATAGTCTCTACAGCTCTACTTTAGTTCAAGAAATAAGAATTGGAACCAACTCAGTTGAGGAGAAAGATTTACTTATAATAAAACCCAAAAGAATTATCATAAATAAAAGATCTCTGATTCTAGTTCTAGAAAGATGGTGAGAACAAGGTAGAAAATCTAGAGTTTGGGCTTGCTGAGTATATAAATACTACTACTTCCTAATTTCTGTTACTTTATTCTATACCTTCTCTTCTCACAACTAGCTTTGGATTCATCATGGATATACTGATGATGACCACATTGTACCCACAATCACAGTCTGTGGTATTTTCTGGGTCACTAATATCTGATATACATACAGCTGCATCTAAATTAGAAAATGCCTAAACGCATGTAGACATGACTTTTAGCAAGTCAGTGGGCCACCTCTATTTAAAGAAACAAAAAATGTACAGGCACCACAAAAACAAATGCCAGGGTCAAAAATATAACTTATGAAATGGAACTCCATCTGTCAATTCCATCTTACATATATGTAGTATATATGCCAACTTGTATAATTTTAACATCTGATGTATAAATGCCTCCTGCCCTCTGTCCTCCCTGAGTTGGGGATAACTGGCTTGTTATTATTAGACACTATTATGATTATTATTTTCATTTTATAAGACTTAAAGGCATACAGTTCAGGGCCAGAAGAGAAGGCATATTTAGATATTATCATGCTGGTGGGCAGTCTATAGCTTTGAAACTGAAGAAACTTTAAAATTTGGATTGCTTTATACTGAAGTGTAAGAAAATAGTGAGTAACAAAAAATGCATTACTGTGTACATTTCAACTTCCAGTTTTTAATTTTTGGGGCAGATCTGTGGTTAGTAGCTCATCCTAACATCTGATTTCATATGTCATGTGATTTGAAAGCTCTTCTTCTGAGGTTCTTCTACAAAAACAAACATTTAGACCTACAAAACCAAACATTTAGACCTACATATTTCTAGCCAAAAAGTGATCCATATTGTACTGTCAACTATATTATTGGCTCTCATGCTGGCTATGCATTAGAGTCATCAGGACTTTTGAAGCTTTCTGAAGAAAAAAGTTCTGGTTATCCTCATTATTCTTAATTACTACTCCTAACTACCAAGATTCAGTAGTTTTGGGGAGGTACCAAATTTTTTTAATATTAATTCTGATGTGTAGAAAACAGTTTTAATTTCTATTTTTTTTAAAGATTTATTTATTTATTTATTTATTTATACAGGCACTGGGTACAGTCAGAAGTGCTGGAGGGTGAGAGAATTCACTAGCGCCAGAGAGGGGAGCAGAGCAGGCAGAAGGATGGAAGTACACTGCTGAGGGGAGCAGCGGGCAGCAGGAAAGGACTAGGCACCATGCGGGACCCTCCTCCAGTGGCCTAGGAGCAGCCGGGGATCGAACCAGTGCTGCAGAGGCTGCGGGCAGCTTCGCAACCCAGCGCTCAACTGCTGTGCCACTGGGGAGGGCCTTTGATTTCTAAATTTGAAAACAATTGTAATCAATAAAATTAAGAAGTTAACTGGATAGTCCTAAGCATGCATTAGAGTCATTCATCCATCTATCTATCCATCTATCTATCTATCTATCTATCTACCTACCTACCTACCTACCTACCTGCCTACCTACTTACTTATTGAGATAACTTTGGTTTTAACCAATGTATATGATTCAAAGGTATGGGATAACACCTCTTCAAATGAATGCTATCACAAAACCCTTCTACAAAAGGACCCATAGTCCTCCACAAAAGTCCATTGGGCCCCATCCACACTTTGCTCTCTACCCGCTTCTCCTCCTCCCCCACTGGTAATCTCAATTCTGTAGTCAGACTTTTAAAAAGTGAAAACCACTGTCTCATGTTCATATTTTGACTCAAGTATATTTTGGGGAAGGGCCTGAGAATTTGCATTTTTAACATCTTTCCAAATGATAGTGATGTTATTAGACTGGGGCCACCACTTGAGAATCACTGAAATAGACTTGAAAGAAAAACAGTGCTGATAAGAAAAAAGCCTGAGTAATGTGTTTTTGCAAGGAGGAGGATTAAAGCCTTTTCCTGACTATTGCTACGCACATTATCAAGACTGAAATATTAGATATCCCATCTGAAAACTTCAAGGACTTTGAGCTAGAGGTTTTCTTTTCCTAGCAAGAAAGCTGATTTCCATAAATCTCCTGGTACAATTTCATGATGTTGTTATCACTGTGTTGTGTTGGAGAAAATTACAACAGGGAGTTTATGAAAACTAAAATCTTTACTACTTTCAAATACACACACACACACACACACACACATATATATATGCAGAATATGAAAAATAAGCTTAGAAAAAATTGAGATGATACCTGTAGAAAGACCATTTTAGCAGAAATTGCCTGGCAGCTTTAGGAAAACTGGGTCTTCCTTCATAGGGTTTCAGTGCTTGCATCATCACATTGTCAAGCCACGCAGCCCACTGCTCCAGGGTGCTCTGCTGCTGAAGAGTCATCTTGAAGTCTGTTTCTAGTCTCTGAACCATGTTGTCATCACACTGGCACACCCAGGAAGCCTGCTCCTGGAATAGTAGACACAATGCAAAGGAAAAAGTTCAACTCAGTATCTTTTCATTGCGTGTCAGCACACAAACTGTATGCATGAATGGGAAATTACAATGACAGCTTCAAACAGTTAAATGAATTAAGAAAATGAATGACTACTTGTCAGTTGTAAAGGGAAATAACATTGACTTTGTGCATGAAAATATGGTATGACATAAAAGCATGCCTTGGTTTTCTACATTAGCTAGTGTGTGAAGATTAAAAGACATGATCACTTAAGAAAAAACTGAAGCTACAGTATGTAGAATGTAGGGTCTTTCATTCTATTTAGTTTTAATATTTTTTTCAAACATCCTATCTTTTTTCCCCTCCTATCATATAAAACTTCAAAGTCAATGCATTTGAGAAGATTTAGGTTCAGTTACATGGATAATGGACTCAATTGCCCAAAAGTATTCCCTACAGACTAAAACAGAAACCAACACTTAACACTAGTTTAAGAAGGAGCATGTGTTGTATGAACTTTATGTATTGGGAACTGAAATTCAAGGACAATCAAGGGTATGAATGCAAATTAATTAACAAAACTGAAAATAACAATAACAACAAAAACACTTTTGAGAAGCTATAGATATGTTATCGGCCAAGAAATGCAATTACCAGTGTTCCCCTGGTTCTGATTGGGAAGTCTCATGTTAGGTAATAGGAAAGTTTTAGGCTAATTGTTAAGAGGCAGCCTAATTTTTGTTTCCCATGCTAAGTTGTGTTAAAAAAACAAAAATGAAGCAACAAACCATGATATTCTTCAGGCGAAAATAAAATTATTTGGTAATACAATATTTGACTTAATGTCAAAGGACATGGATTTTAACACGCAACCTCAATCAATTAAACTGACCATAAGCAATTCATCTAATCTAAATGGGCCTCATTTTCCTAAGCAGAAAATTAAGAGAAATGTGACAAGAGCTTTTAAGCTGGGTTCATTGCATCCAGATAATATTTTCAAGAGGATTCTGTGGAAGGGCATCTATGTAGTCCCTAATTTTTTGATCAAACATACTGTGAATATATATGTATATTTCTGAAGAGTGTCTATGACTTTTGTTCGATATGCTCTTTAAGAGCACAGGTTCATTAAACTGACAATTTCAAGTGAATAAGTCCCTAATTTCTATCCCTTGGCTCCAGTATCTTTCTTGATCCTACAGATTTTATTTATTCAAGAGACATTTCAACTAGGAGGCACTTCAAATACAAAATGTCCAAATTCAACTCACTGTATTCTCAGCTGATGTACCTACCATATACTATCCTTTCTCTTATCTGATTTTAGTCATAAAACCTTTGAAAGGTGCACTTCTAAATATAACTTTTAAATATTTTAAATACATTAAAATATGATTAAGGAAATATAAATAAGCAAAAAAAATATTAAGATTATCTAAAATATTGAGATAATTACAACATCCTGATATACATACTTTTCAAACATTTCACATGCAATATATACATATGTATAGAAAAATATTTAAAATAAAAGAGGAACATATTACACAATCTGATAGGCTTGGTTTCACTTAAGTATTATTACAACTACATTTCCATGTAGTAAATGTCTCCATGTAGTTTATGACTCAATGATTGAATGCAAGAAAACACTGTTATTTATATAACTAATTCTATAGAGCTATCATATATGTTGACTCCAACTCTTTACTCTTAAGAGATAATGGTGTAATTAGCAATGCTATATGTTTGTTTATTTTTGCACTTACTTCTGCATCATAGATTAATATAATAATAATTAAGACATTCAATGCATGTATACTGTCAAATGACTCCCAGGAACTTTATACCGATTTAAGAGTACATAAGAAAAGCCAAGGATAAAATTTAGGCATCAAAGAAAGAATAGGGCAGGTTTTGTTATTTCTTTAATATCTAAGTATTTTCTTTATTGTAGTAAAAAAAACAGTTAACAAAAAATGTATCACATTTATTGTTTTAATGTGTGCCATATAGGGATGTTAACTATATTCTCCTTACTGTGTAATTTCCATTCTGCAAAACTGAAACCGTATAGTGTTTGGAGGGAAGGATTGCTTTTTGCTTGTGCATTAATAACAGAGGAGGAATTTATTAATATTTCTGCAATGATTTAATTTCATCTCATCATAAATTCAAACACTATTTATTTGGAAGTTGGTTTTTGTGAAGAGAGGATGATAATCTAAAACCTAACTTGGAGAAATAAAAACACAGAGCATTAGGCTGGCTTTAAACTACTTTATAATATACTACACTACACTGTCAATATACTTACATATACAATATTGTCTTCTTATAACCTGAAAAAAATACTGACAATATACTCTTATGAAAAGAATATGGTTGTTTCAAATTCTGTAACTGTTAAAACTAAGTTTGAACATTTAAGATGCTCCTAATTTACAAACACATTATGTTCAAGGTATTAAGGAGTCTGTGGTTTCAAAATCAGAATTCATACATCACACAACTTACTCACTCAAAGTAGAAAATGCAATGATTTCTTTAAATATATTCAGAGTTGTGCATCCATTATCACAATCAATTTTAGAACATTTTCATTTCCCCAAAAGAAAACCCTTATCTCTTACCTGTTACTTTCTAATCCCTATGCCCTGACCAAACCAGACCACTATTAACCTACTAACTCTAAAGATTTAGCTACTTGCTCATATACATATAAATGGAATCAAGATCTATGTGGTAATTTGTGTCTAACTTCTTTCACTTAGCATGATGTTTTCAAGATTCATCCATGTTATACCATGTATCAGAACTTCATTGCTTTTTATTGTCCAATAATGTTCCATCGTGTGTATGTGGCTATACCATATCTTATAATCATCAATTAATTGATATGAGAGTTATATCTACTTTATGTGGCTAACATGAATGATGTTGTTATGAATGTCTTGGTATAAAACTAGAAGTGAAATTGCTGAGTCATATGGTAACTTTATGTTTAACTTTTTGAGGAACTGCCAGACTATTTTCCCAAGTGGTTGAAGCATTTTACATTCCAACCAATAGTGTGTAAAAGTTCGCGTCTTCACATCTTCATCAACACTAGATATTATCTGTCTTTTTGATTATTCTCATTTCAGTGTATATGAAACCCTTTGCTGTGGTTTTGATTTGCATGCAGAATAATGTTGAATATCTTCTCAGGTGCTTTGGCTGTTTGTGCATCTTTTTGGAGAGTGCCTATAAAGATCTTCATCCATCTTTATATTTTTTTCACTGGGTTGTAATAGTTCTTTATATCTTCCATATATAAGCTTTAAATAAGATGTATGATTTGTAAATATTTTCTCCTATTTTGTGAGCTGTCATTTTCCTTTCTTGATGTTACTTTTGAAGTACAAAAGCTTTTAATTTTGATTCAGTTCATGCATTTTTTTCTTTTGTTGCCTGTGCTTTGGGTGAAGTGTTTTATTTAGTAACATGGTGTACTGTTTTTCTATAGTAATAATTAGTTTAATTATTTTAGCACTTGAAGTAAAATATTGTTGGGAATTATATAATGATATTTCTAAATTAGCTATTTTTACATGTACTAAAAAAAGTGAGTGGTTTAATCATAGGTTAAAAATATATTTTTTTCATTTGAACCATCAAAATAGCTAAATATATCATAGTGAATTCTTTTGGGATAAACAAATATTTATCAGACATCTATAGTAAATTCAATTGTTCTTAGTTCTTTCAAAGGGGGAACACTTAAATATCTCTGTGTATGTCACAGTGTAAAAAGGTTGTCTGAACTACTAAATAGATAAGTAATAATCTAAGAAAGGCATTTTAAGGTGGGAAAAGTGGAGATAAGAGCAAGCAAATAGTTTGCCCAAGATCTCATAGCTGGTAGATGTAAGACTTTAATCTGTGACTGTGATGGTAATTACTCTATTCAGCAAATCCTGGTGACATATTATGCTGCTACCTAGTACTATAAATCTCAGCAGACTTTAACCACAAAACAGAGGAGCGATGAAGTTGTAGCTAAGTAAAACTCTCCTCCTTTAGGAAATTGTATATAGATTTTGCCTGTGCAATGATGGAACATTGAAACAAATTTTGATGATCTTAAATAGGAAGAAAAAATAGGCATCTTTCCTAAAAAGGAATGGTTTGAAAGATAACAGAGTACCTGGACATTGGCAAAGTCAACACGGTTGAGGTCATTGAGCATCTGGTTGATCTGAGACGTGTTCTGAAGCACTGCACGAGCGGCCTGGGCCAGGTGATTGAGCGATGTGTATCTTCGCAGAGTCTGGGCAAAGGCACTTACAGCGGCAACCTGTAAATAAATCCAATTAAATTGGAATTTTTCCCCCTCCAGTAAAAGAAACCATTGCAATCTTCAGATCTTTTTTCTCTTGCCAAATTTTAAATGCTTCCCTCTGATACTTATTTCAAATTCATTTGGTGAGAGAGCTTACTTGTAAATTATAGCATTTAAACCTCTAAACCAAGTATTATTTTCCTTTTGAATAGGTTGAGGTCATGACTAAAACAAACTCCCACATTCTTCGACATCTAAGTGCAGCATTAATTAAACCAGTCTTGCAAGTAACTACTCCTCCACAGCAAGAAATGACTTTGTCTAGGGAAGTAGGAAAAACATTGATTTTCATTTCTTTTTTATTCTCTGTAGGACAGTCAACTACAAGCTAGGCAAACAAGAAATTTCCCTTTATACTCAGAAAACCAAACCCCACAGTCTATTCTTTTAAATGGAAAAAAAATGCACTCATTTTCAGAGCACTGTCACTTAGATTCACTCTTATTACCTCTGTTTAAAGAAACCTGGGTAATACTGTGGTAGAACAAGAGTGGTTATAGCCTTTATTAGCAAATAAATATAAGGCTAATGAACTTATTACTCATAAGCAACAAGAATAACTCTTTCAGAATTTGATTTTGTATAAAAGGGCTTCCAGGAAATTTTCATTTGCCTCTGCTTTGGCAGAATTTGCTTTCCTCTTCTATGCTAAAAGACCTGGGGAGGGGGTCAGATTACAGGATATGCCTTAGCTTTCACCTCTTTTCCCTTTAGACTTAGATATGATTAGGACTTCCCACTAATGCTAATCTTGGGTGCTTTACCATTTTTCCTTGGCTTCCTTAACTATGATTACCCCTTTGTAAGCAGAACCTTCTTAAACTCTCTATAAATATTCCCTCCTTTGGATATACCACTTTTCTGGTTGAGAATGAATGAACCAGGTTATGTTGAAAGATATCAAAGATAATGCCAAAAATGCCACTTTAGGTATGTCATATCTTGTGGAATTTTTTAAAAAACAGACTAGATCTAAGGGGCATTTAAACATATTTACAAGGCATTAAAATCACAAGTATATTAGCACAGCATTAATTGAACATCAGGTGACTGAGTGGTAGTGTAACAGGGTGGTCCCCAGGAAAGGGGGAGGTTCCAGGTTCCCTGCCCCACCCAAGGAAGGATGGAGCTGAGCAGGAAGAGGAGAAGCTGCAGAAGAGACTGAGGAAGGAGGCAGGATGGAGCTTAGAGACACGTGAAGAAGCTGTGCTTGTCTTTTGGTTGTGGACGGGGTGACACAGATGTGGGTGAGACCCATGGGGAGGTGACAATGGCAGCTTTTATCTTGATGTTGATTTTGCTCTTTTCCTTCCGGGCTTGTTTGGTTGTTTCTGACTCTTTTCTGTGGGTCCCCACTGGAAGATGCTTTAGACTTGTGGCAGGCTTTGGGGCCTTGCTCTGGGCTGATCCCATATGGATGGAGTTTTACCCACGAGGGGACGGGTAACTTTGGTTGCTTCATTTAGAAACTAGACTCTTTGCCTTACCTGTATTGTTTCCTAGTTTTTATTAAAGTTCCTTCCCATTAAAGTCTCATATGTTTTGTGTTGATGCGGCGGATGGCAGAACCCATTTGGAATAGACAATAGGCAGGTTTGCGGGGTTTGGGCTGCCCCTCTCCCTGTCCTATAACAGTAGAAGGTTTTCAAAAGGTAAAGTTTGCTCATCTTAATAGTGAGATGTTTTAAGACTATGTGGAACTGGGAGAAATTCACATACCCTCAAAGAAGACCTGTACACTTTTTTCCCCCCATTTTTATGGTTTATATTAATTATGTACATATAAGTCAAGCACTACTAAGTACCTTTCATATATCACCTTGTTCAATTCTCATTACCATTCAATTAGATACATATTATGACTTAAAGAGGTAAGTGCCTTGCTTGGGTTAGACAGAAACTACCTTACATTTTGGAATATCAACACAGAATTCTGATAACAATGGTCACAGTCATAACCTAATTATGCTGTCTGCAATGCCAAGGTAGATTGTCTTCATTTAATGAGCACTCAGTTGAAAAAAGATTGCACATCAGTGAAAGGGGAATAGCAGAAGGTAACTTTTACCAACGAAAAGCATACAAATCAACTCTAGAGATCAATGAGATGGCAAATATTAGAGCTGGATTTCTGCCACATTCACTTTGGTTACAATGGGAGAAAGGTACTTACAGCTTTTGGAAGTACTGCTATAAATATGATTAACTACAAGTTTGAAAACATTCCTCTGACCATCATAATCAAACAGCACCTTCTTTTACTGCCAAGTATGGTGACTCTAGAATACCTTCGTTGTGGAGAACTTTCTAGAATGATGGAAATGCTTTACATATGTCCTGCCGGTAAGGCAACCACGGCTATCTGGGGCTATGGAACATCTGTTATTTTTTTTTTTTTTAAGAATTTTTTTTTTTAAAGATTATTTATTTATACAAGCACTGGGTATAGTCAGAAGTGCGGGAGGGTGAGAGAATTCACCAGAGTGGGGAGCAGAGCAGGCAGAAGGACCGAGGCACACTGCTGAGGGGAGCAGCGGGCGGCAGGAGACGTCTGCGCGCCATGTGGGACCCTCACCCGGTGGCCGGGGAGCAGCCGGGGATTGAACGGGTGCCGCAGAGGCTTCGGGCAGCTTCACAATCCAGCGCTCAACCGCTGCGCCACCGGGGAGGCCCTGTTTTTTTTTTTTAAGATTTATTTTTATTTTATTTGTGCATACAAGAACTGGGGTGTAGGCCACAGGTGCAGGGTGTATGTGTGTGTGTGAGGATTCATCAGAGACAGAGTGGGGAGCAGAGCAGGCAGATCTACTGAAATACACTGCTGAGGGGAGCAGTGAGCGAGACAGGATAAGTCTGCTGACCCAAGTGGCTTAGCTCCATAGCCAGATCAAACTCATGCCATGATAGCTTTATAGAGCTGAGACTTTAACCCCTGTGCTACCAGGAAGGCCTGATAGCTTGAGTGACTAAAGAATTGAATTTTTAATTTAATAAAATTTAAATCTAAATAGTCACATGTGGCGCTAATCCTACTGTATTGATGGCACATCTCTGGAGAAAAATCTAAGATGGGAAGATCAATGAAATGTTTCTTTCATTTCAGAGATGAAAAGTTTCAAAGCAGAAAAAACTGGAGGATACTTAGTTCTCAGAGAGACTTGTCAGCCACAAGAGCGTCAATCTATCAACTATCCCCCAAAGTGAAAGCCAAGGTATATTGTTGAAGTCTGAGCATGGATACAGTGAATGACACAAAGTCACAAATGTGATTTTTAATAGCCAGGTTTAGAAAGAATCAGTCCAATCCTTCCATGGGGTATTTTCACAGAAAAACCTAAAGTAATACAGTGAGGAGTGGACAACAAGAAGACTAGAATTTATATTTATAGTTAAATAAACGATTCCTAATATATACCAATTATGAGAAAACTGCTTAAGAATGATTACTTGATTTACAAAAGAATTCTCCAGTGTTAAAAAATCTAAAGAGCAAAATAAAAATATAATTTGCACGAACTTTCAGAGGACAATGAGCATAGTAGGAAATTTTAAACATATAAAACTAATTCAAATGGGGCCAACCTGAAATACTTATTTTAGAAAAGGGCTTCTAAATAAAGGACACTTAAAATACTTCTCTAGTCGCTTTGAAAGGAGCATTAACAAATGTCTTGTACAAGTACTTCACTACATGCCTATTATAATATCAACAGTTTACATAACTATTTGACAGATATGAAATCCATATTTAAGAACCATTTTCTAAACAAAGAAAAAAAAACTAGACATGAAAGTGTACCTTGGTTTGTATCATTCTCTGTGGAATATTGTTCATGGCATTGGAAAGCCAACCTTCAAGGCTTTTTGCAAAATTTCGAATGGCTTGGGTCAAGGCACCTAAATGTTAAAAAATAAAAGCAGAACGAAAAAGATAGCAAAGAACATTAATCTTTATGCAAAAATAAGGGAAAGTATGTGTATATGACATCTGAAATAGCACAGAACTTATATTTTCCTCATTGATGAGACTTAACATTATTCCTTACTTTGAAAACATTTAAAAATTATATTTTGGCCTTTTCCCCCTTTAAAGCTAATTTGTCCCAAATACTATGACACTGTGGGAAATGAAAACATTCAAACATTTCTGCTTATAGCAACATATACCAGTTGTGAATATACTTATGGAATTTTCTATCTTAGACAATATACTTTTTTAATTAACAGCTTTGTGCTCAAAAGCTAAGTATTGTCTTTATAAATTCTTAATTTTTCAAGCTATTAATCCTATCTTTATTTCTTTAGTCAAAAAAAAAAAAAATACAAAGCTTTTCTTTCTCTATGCATCTATTTACACCAGGACATATCAATTAGAGTAATTATCTCTCATTCTTCTTGAAAAGTAAGGTAAAAATTAAAATTACCGGACTTGAAAAGTCTGGATAACTATTCTCTGTTTCATTTGCCAGGTAGATATAAAAGATCAGTGTGATAAAATTACTGTCACAGAGAACATTATTCTTAAGATGCTACTAAAATAGTCCATTCCATAGTCTTTGATATCTGTTATAACCTGAGACAGGGTAGGTTCCCTGAGAATAGTTTTATGGTGGTCATGGTGGTCATATAATGACTAGAAGCATTTTCAGTTATCAGGGAAGACTATGACTCTTACAAGAAGGGATCTGCATTCTGAGACTGCTCTATAGCAAGAGATAGAATTCTTCTCTTGTTCTAGAAGTAATTCGGTCAGTAGCATTTTACTTCATCTGTGCCTAAGGGTCCACAGTGTAGGGAGCAGTTTTAGACATTTAATAAATATGTGTTTGAGGCACCCACATTAGAAAACTATTCTCTATAGGTGCCCTAAAATGTAGATAGGCATTACAATTTGAGGTCTACAATAAGAAATAGGAGTTATATTTTTTCCCAAGTCTCCCCAAAATGTTAATATTACCAATGGGATTAAATTCTTTGGTTTTTCTTTCTGTGCTCAAATGAGTCTGATATGTTTCTCTATTACTTTTGTTAGAACAGATTTGGGAATAATTTAATTTACTCAAGTCACATGTAAAATATATTAATTTTACTAATCCAATAATTAAAAAACAACTATTTTTTAAATGACTTCACTGATCAAATGACAGAAAAGACTAAAACTGAAACGGTTAAATCTTTAACCATGAGAATCATCTACTGGAAACAGTGAATTGGAAATTTCTTTAGTACTAATCTTTTGAAATTTCCAAAGTTTCTAACTTGAGTCAAAAAGAAAAAGGAAAGAAAAAATATTTTTCTGCTGTATTATGTATTAGAACCATGGAGGGCAGGCATGAATGGAAATGAAAAGAGTGAAAAAAAATTAACAACACTTTTTGAAACCCAGTAAAATTTTGTTTCAAGATTCAATTGGACTATCTGTATTCTGCATATTCTGCAATTAATATAGAATAGTGATTGAATCTGAAAAAAACAAGGATCAAGAAAAATTTGTTTAAAAAATACATTAATATGAGTCTAGGTCCTAGGGAGATTATAAAATAAAAATATATTTTATATATAAAATAGTACAAATATATATATGTTAACCAAATTGGTTTGGCTTTAATATACTCATAATGGTACATTTCAAGTGTTACCAGTTGATTTCTTATACAATTCTTTACATGAACTTTTTTTTCACTTTTAGATAAATGTATTTTAGAATATAGTAGCTTCAAGCTGACTTTAAATTAGTGTGATATGCAGACTTCTTTTTGGCTAAAAAAAGGAAAACCATCTGGACAGTAAATGGTTGAGTGAAGTACTAGTAGCCAGTAAAATACAATTTTTAGAAATAAAATTAAGTTTTCTCTCTCTATAGGGATTCATGTCAGATCAAATTGTGCAGATTGACTCTGACAACTTTTTCTCATGAATGGATGGTTTGAAATTTAAAACTATTCCAAAGCTAACTTGTCTCAACCTGTTCATGACTAATATTAAAATGCATACAATCAGAAGATAGATATCCAAACTGTAAGCTTCATTTTGTTAAGTCTTGCTGTAGAATGGCAATTAAATTTCCATATTTACTTGGTAGGGTGGCACATTAGTGTATCTTGTAATTTCAGAGAACTATAAACTAGCTTTGTGTGAAAATTCCTGAAATGGAGTTGCCTAGAGAATGTAGAGATAAACTACTTGACTGAATAAATTGGGTTTCAAATCCAAATTTGCAACACATAAAGGTTAAGTGTATTATATACTTCAAATTGTGGGTCAAAGTCAACTAAAAGTGATGCATGATTTAAGTTAGGTTAACTGCTGAGTTAACAAGTTAAAGTTTTGAGATGTTAACATAGAAGCAAACTATTTTAAAATATTTTAATGAATACTGATGTTGATTGCCTCAAAAAAGAAAATGCTCACTGACATCTCGTATCTCATGAGAGAAATTATATGTTGGTGGCAAGATGTCATAGGCTAATGAGCTACCCTATGCAATTTCTCTTAAATGTCTCTAGAGATTATCACTCAGAGCACAGGAAGCAAGACAAAAATAAGGAAAATAAGATTCTGGAATACAAGCAGTAGAGGATTTAACACTGATATTTTCCATGACAACATCACTTTTAATCAATCTTTAGTTAGGAAACTTGGTACAGATAGAGTGGGAAATACTAGCAATTTATAAAGATGTGACACAACGCAACTAGATTTTAAAATTTTATTTCTATGTGAATTTAACACTATGAATTGATGTATGTAACTTCATGTCTAAGTATACATTTTAGGGGGTAGATGACATTGAAAGAACTTGTTTCTTCCCCTATTTATCATATTTAGAGAAAGGAAAGTACAAATATGTATATGTTAATATTTTTACCTTCTTGTCTGTTAATAAATCCCTACTTAAATATTTTCTGAAATAATTTAAAATAAATCAAGTACACTGAAAACAGTGTACTTGAAGTACATGGTTGCCAACTACAGAAGCTAAAGATTGTTTTTATGTTATGATTATTACTGGAGAGTGGGAATTCTTTAAAATTTAAAATTCCTTAAAAGTTATGGTCACTAGTATGTGCTCATGAAAATGTAGGCATAAAATCATTTCAACTGCCTTTGGCACAAGTATCCATGGTAGCATTTATGTTGACACTTGCAGAAAATAGCTTTGTTTGCTACAAGGTAGTTTAAAAAGCATCATTACTTAAAAGAAGTAATCTAACTTATCTGTGTAATTCCTATTTCCTCACCGTAGGAATACAAAGCTTGTGTAGTTACATAGATTTTTCTCTCAAAATGTCAGTTAACCATTACTGTTAATGGAGACTGCATTGGTAGTTCTTAACATGATATAGGTGACAAAATAAATGCTTTCATAAGGAATTTAACTTCAGTGGAAACCAAGATAAATTCAGTTCAAATCAAAAGCAACCATGAAAGAGGCATACCTAGCAATTACAGATTTTTTTTAATTGACTTTAAGAAGGAAACTGTGTCCTTGTGTAAAATAAATTTTAAATGGTTGACTGGCCTAGGAGTGTTCTTGCTAAATTAGTCATTGGGGTTGTCTGTTCCATAGGTTGGATTTTCTAGCAAAAAAAGAAAACAAAAGCTTGGAAAATATAAATTTTTCCCCTTTTAGTACAATTTTGCTCTAGGCTGCTTTCATGCCATACTCTATGCTGCATGTTTTCCATCTGGCAAATCCAAATGAGATTAGAATTACTCTAGATTGCAATGTCACTCCCCAAAACTTCCTGGGTGGAATGTATGAGAACAAAAGCATCCGTATTTGTCTGCATTTAACTTACTAGGAATAGGTCTAAGGACGTCGGGGATGAGAATCTCCACCAAAGCCTGGTACATCCCATGGTCACAGTTACACATCCATTTCAGGATAGACTCATGTTTGCACAGAGTTATCAGCTTTGCTTTCGGAAGTCGACTTTCTATTTCACTCAGATTGCTGGTGTGAATAAATGTAGCAAATGAATAGATGGCAAATGAGGATAAAAAAGAAAATGGACTTTAAAAATAGTTTTAGTTTATCAAATATTACTGAGGTTAGAACTATACCACCATCGAACTGGTGCCATACAGCTGGATATATATAACACTCCCCCAGAGCTGCCTATGCATGTTAATACTTTCTGATGGTATGAAAGGCAAATATGATACTAATTCCATGAGGATGAAATAGCTCTACCACAGTCCCCCAAATCAATAAATATGGGAGCTAAAATACACACGCTAAAACCTTCAGAGAGTAGTTTGTGGTTTATTTCAACCTATTCATTTAATGTTATCAGGTAAAGTTCACAACTGGTATACATATCTCTAATTTATTAGCTGTGACATCTACTCAGTCATGAAAATGAATTGGAAGAGCATATTGATTCTGACCTTGATTCAGTAATGGTAGTGCCATCAGTAGGAGTAGAAGGAGAATAGCGCCAGAATGTTTGCCACAATTTTTCTATTAGGCTAAATTGAAGATTCACAACAACGTCCAATATTGCCTGAAAAACAAATAGTTATGGGTATTACCTTACAATATTTCTTATGGAGATGAGTGAAGAGTACATAATGCAGAACTTTTAAAGGACTTAAAGATACCTTTGGATTCAAAAGCTAACCTGGTCAAACTAGACTAAATTTTGTCATTGGAAAAAGAGAAACAAAAGAGATTAGACAGGGGAAGATAAGAGGGGGATAACTTTTTTTTTTTAAGTAGAGGCATTTATTTATTTGTTTGTTTGTTTGTTTTGTTTTTTGTTTATACATGCACTGGGTACAGTCAGAAGCGCGGGAGGGTGAGAGAATTCACCAGAGCCAGAGCGGGGAGCAGAGCAGGCAGAAGGACTGAAGTACACTGCTGAGGAGAGCAGCGAGCGGCAGGAGAGGTCTGCCCGCCATTTGGGACCCTCCTCCGGTGGCCGGGAAGCAGCCGGGATTGAACCGGCGCCGCAGAGGCCACGGGCAGCTTTGCAACCCAGCGCTCAATCGCTGCGCCACCGGGGAGGCCCATGAGGGGGATAAATCTTAAAGAATTTTTTTAAAAAGGACAAATTGTATTCCTCTCATAAAGTCTTCAAATCCCACCCTCAGTTTTAATTTTCTTCCGTGTCTTTGCTTGCTTGCTGCTTCTCCATTTTCTTCCTACCTTTTCCCTTTCCTTTACCTACTGCTTCCTTCGGACTGTGTGGTTGCTGCCACTCTTCCTCTCAGACTCGGAAGGATACACAACATAGATTCAATTCACATCAGTCCTTATTGGGCTAGGTGTGTTCACTGACCATCAAAGAGGATGGAAGTGAAGGGTGTAGAGGTGCTTATATGCAGCAGCCAGATTAAGGCTAAACATTAGCTCTGTCTGAGGCTGCTGACCATGAGCTCCAGAGTGTTCCCAGCAAGCAGAAGCTGGGGCAAAAACTACAAAATCTTCAAAGGATAGAAAGTGTCTGGGCAGAAAAAAGCACAGTACTTCTCTTTGATCTTGCAATGCTTTCCATTCAATCATAACTCTACACACTCCCTTTACAAAGCAGTTTTAACTTTCCTAAGCCTGGAGGCGGGGACCCTCGCCGCCTCCTCCTCCTTAAATTTATCTCCTAGAATCATTTTCCAGCTGCATCAAGGACTTTTTTTTTTTTTGATGGTGCTAAAATTTGCCACTTTCATTAACTTTTAATGATCATATTTAATTTCACCCTGCCATAGCAATTAGTTTGTAAATTAGGCTTCAGATAAAAGCAGTCATAAAATCAAAGAACAACTTGTTTGTGCAAAGAACACATGATTCTGTGATTATTTTGAGCATAAAAGACAGAAGTAGTCAGTATAATGTGTCAGCACTGAGGATGAGGACAGGTAAAACAGCCCCATCAAAATCTACAAAATTCATGGCACTAAGAGACAACAGGGGGATACTGAGAGTCAATCTGAGTAGATCTTTAGGGAAAGACAGGAAACTAACACTTCATAGTTCTAGTTTGTGCTACTTCTGTAGATAGGTGTCTCTGCCTGATACAGAGAGTAACTGATTTCCTATACAAAAATGCTCTGGGATCAATTCAAATATTAAATAAGATATGTTTGAGGGCACTTTCTGGGAACTAGTAGAAAATATTGCAAATCATTGAATGATGAAAATGGAGGGAAGGAAATGAATTACCACACTCCTTACCCCTTAACATTAACAACAATAAAAAGGCAAGGTGCAATAACAAAACTAATGATAATTAGAAAATAGCTTTATTAAAACAAATTGTGGGAATTCCAAATCATATGCAAAATAGGTATATTAATCTTTCATGAAAATATATACCCTAGGAAATATGAAATAAAATAAGGCAAGTAAAGAATATCGTGCAACCAAAATTCACTAATTCTTCAAATAAAATAAACTCAAATAATTCTTTTGAAAAGGACATTCACATTATCTTCATTTGAGATAGTTTTACAAATGAATAAAAAGTTCTGCATTTGTCCACCTACTATCAAACATGTTCAGATCAAAATACATAGGCAAATATACCTTAAAATCACTCATATTCTACTGATTTAGCGCAAATGATGAATGACTGGATATGAGACTTAGATACCTGTACTTCAAAGTGTTGGAAAAAATAATTTGAGTTCTTCTCTTTAATCATGTGGTGTCATGAACACTGGTAACTCTGAAATAAATCGGAATCATTCTAAGGACTACCATTTCTCACAAAGATTAATTTCTACACATGTCCATATTTTTTCATGTAGAGTACGTATGAAAATTGGTAGGTTGACAAAAATTTTGTACCACAAAGAATAAGGAACAAGAGATTAGTTTGGGAAGAAAAGGTGGGGGGAAATAACTCTTGAGAAATTAAGCAGAATAATGTGTATTCCTCCCATAAAGGCCTCATAGTCCATTCTTAGTTTTACTTCTCTTTTCAATTTCCTTGCTTACTTCTCTGCCTCTCCATTTTCTTCTCTCACTTTCTTTTTCATTTCTTTACCTACTGCTTCCTTCTGCCTCTGAGATTGCTACCACTCTTCCTATTCTCAGGCCCAAAAAGGTACAGAACGTAGATTCGATTAGAATAATCCTACTGTACATTCTTTGATAATATAAATAAGTATACTCCAATTTATATTTTAAATAAATACGACAAATTTAAACTTAAAAAAAATTTCAAATTGTATTTGTGCAGGCTGGTTTGCTTAAAGCAAGGTTCACCTGAACACAGAGAAATGAAGAAATGCTTAAAGACTCTTTATTGAATATACATGATATACATAAAAAAATAATATTTTTTCTAGATGTGTAAGGATTATCCAGAAATTCTCTAATGTTGAGAAAATCAGAGTAATCAAAGAGAAACAAATGTTAAGTGTTCTTCATCATTCTAAGAAATGTTGGGAATAAACTATCAGAAATTTTAAAGAATGCTTCTGGCACATGGTTTGTTAATAAAGAGATAACTTGCCCTTGGTTGTTAATAAATTGTACACTTAACAAGCACTCAGATTCACTCAAGCATTTCTTATTTTGGGAGTAGGAAAAAATCTGTGAATGCTATGGTCTGAGACTTCTCACTGCATACTGCAGTGTCAACAGTTAGGAGGAAAGTCCATAAAATCCAAAGGATTATCTTTTATTACTAAGTAGACCACAGATAGTCTTGGAGTAAAGCTACTTAACTTCTCATCAGACTCCTCTTTCAATATGAGACACACTTAAGAAAACTCTCATTATAATTTTTTATCCCTCTTCTATCAGGTGAGATGCAGTTATATGAACAAGTTGCCTTAAAGAGTTTATCTTCCAGAAACTGTGTAACCAATTCCGATGTGCAATAATCAGAAGGGGAGTAGGAGTACAGAGAAAAAATACTAAAAGAAACTTAACTAACCACAAAAACAACATAAAACTAGAGACTCAATGCTCCTTGAAAGGAACTCATACACTGCCTTATGAAATATTTCTGGAAAGAATTTTTTTAAATAGAAACACACATTTATGGTTTGAAAGTCAAAAGACAAATAGGATATGCTGAAAAATTGAGTTTCTTTCCTCTGGTTCCCAGTTACCCAGTTCCCTTCACAAAGACAACCACCATTAACATTTTCTTGTTCTTTTTCCAGGAAAGTGTGCATTCAGTTTCTTTTTTTTTTTTTTTAAATTTTTTTTTTAATAGAGGCATGTTTTTATTTATTTATTTATTTATTTGTTTGTTTTGTTTATACATGCACTGGGTACAGTCAGAAGCGCAGGAGGGTGAGAGAATTCACCAGAGCCAGAGCGGGGAGCAGAGCAGGCAGAAGGACCGAAATACACTGCTGAGGGGAGCAGCGGGCGGCAGGAGAGGTCTGCACACCATGTGGGACCCTCCTCTGGTGGCCGGGGAGCAGCCGGGGATTGAACCGGCGCCGCAGAGGCCGCGGGCAGCTTCGCAACCCAGCGCTCAACCGCTGCGCCAACGGGGAGGCCCCTCAGTTTCTTTTTGATTCAAATGATAGTATGGTATCAATACTGTGTCTTGCCTTTTCCCTTAAAAATAAACCCTGGAACTTGTTCTGTAATACTACATTTAGAGATAGCTGTTCATTTTAATGGCTGCATAGTATTTTACTCTACAGATTGTACCAATGTTTATTTTCTCAGTTCCTTATCAGACAGTAAATGTTACCAATCTTTTGCCTTAAAAACAGAAACACCACCAGCTCCCTTGTACACTCATCTCTACCTATATATAAGTATTTTTCTAGACTAAATACCTAGAAGTGGAACTGCTGCATCAAAGGATACATATTGGAATAGTCTAAGAAGATGGAGGGTAAAATTTATTCTCCAATGTTCACTTCTCCACTCTGACACAGAGTAGAAACATTAACTTCTATTAATGCTCAAAGAAATGCAAACTTACTTCTCTGTCCTCTAGGAATAAGTTAAACTATTTTGCTTTAACAAGTTGTCTGGCAAAAATTACTATGTTTGAAGACTTACCTCACAGTGCTCTCGATAAAGACTCTGCAGTGACTTGATATCCTCAAAGGTAGTACCATCTGGCAGAGAAGAGATTTCAACTTCTCCAAACTCTGGAAGTGCTCGAGATGCATCTGTTACCATGACAACAACAGAAGAAAAGCTATTGTGGATGGTGCCAATTACAGATTAATGAAGGAAAATTTAAGAAGACTAAAAATGAAAATATTATAAAGGTCAGAGGTCCAAAGAGCAAGGACTTTTCATGTTAGTATTTTGCAAGGAAAACTTAGCAACACTGTCAGCACAAAAGAATAGAGGAAATACTCAAAAACGTTTTAGAAACAAAATTTTACTCTAGTTGTACTGGAAATAACAAATCACAGTGTCTCTCAGTATAGGATCGCTATTAAAAGAAAAATATCTTGAGTTGTTCAGTATCAATTGCAGTTATTTTTATTATTATATTATGTAAGTACATAAAAATTAGATCTAGCTTTAAATTCATCTGTTCATACCATTTACATAACCATCAACCAAAAGGGCTATAAAATAAATACAAAGAAAACTACAAAAATAACATTAAATTTAACAACATTAATTTGATTTTATGGATGATGCTGTTGTCCTGTGACTAAATTACCTCTTGCAACATGAATACGGTATTGACTGCTGTGGCACAGGATCTTTTGAGTCTGACAGGCCTATACCAACACGTACTTCATGGTGGCTGGTTCTCCCATTACTCTTCTATATTCAAATGAGCTGTGAAACTTTCCTCCACACAGAGCACTGGGACATCATTTAGCCTTCCCTTGGGATGAAGGCGTAATTTACATAGTAAGTCTCTCTCTGTTCTCATTAGCTCTGGACAATTAATGCAATACACTTTGGTACCTCCCTTATCATAAATTCAAATAAAAATGTGGGAACTAAAATTGTAGAACAATGTTCATTTCAGTTTTATAGGTAAAGCTTTTAGAATATACTTTTACTTTGTGAATTACATTTAGAATATACTTTAATAAGTGAAATAAAATCACAAAATAAAAAAAAATTTCTTACAGAGAGCTCAAGAATACACGCGAAAACTTTAGTTGGGAAAATGCTTCCATAACGTTTTCAACTTCAGTAGCTATTCTGATCTGGGGAGTCCATTTTAATTGTCTTTGACAGAAGGTGTACATAGACACATATACATACACACAGACACATACACACACACACACTCTAATAGCGTCTACTTTCTTGATATGTTGTACAGAAACTATGCATTTTTATCTCTTGAAAAGTTACCAATTGAATGAAAGTGCCATCTTTTTTTCACCTTTGGCTGTTACAGGAATATGCAAAATGTTCAAGTTCTACTTCCTAACACTGTAAATAACAAGAACATATATACCAATAATAAAATTGCAAAAATATAGGAAGTATTGTGTTTGAGTTAAATGAATAAATTATTTTTTAAAAGTCTATAAATATTTTTTTCTATCTGAAACTGTACACATAAGAACTGAGAATTCTTTTTTTGACACTTGAAGTTACCGCTGAAAGTAAACAGAAGACAATTTTGATCATGAAAGCCCAATTAATTTAAAGCCTGGAAAACAATTTCATAGCAATGAGTCCTTAATTCATATACATTTCAAAGTCCTATACAGCTTGAGATTTTTAAAAATCAGCTCTAATGAACATGAGAAAGTAGACATGAACTAGACCTATCATATAATGTGCATAGTTTCAGCACAAAGAAATCTTTCTATGCCATTAACATCTGTAATAGACATTAGACTTGGAGAAAACACTACTATAGTTCTCTTGTTTTCAAAATCCTAATAGCAACTAATATGCATTACACCTTAACATACCTAAAAACTGTTGATGATGTTGACTTTGGGCAATTACAGTTTGCTCAACAGATGTGCCTGTCTGTTGACCACTTCCTGTGAAACCATCTGCAACCCCATCCACTTTCTGCATAGGCTTGTACCTAAAAATATTAGATGGGAAAAAACAAACCAAATTATTCCTTGCTTTTTGCACTACACAAAACTCCCGAGGCATTCAATTTTATTCTATCTTCTTTAATGTCTCATGGCAGTTTTAGAATTTTTTTTTCCTTGACGGTGTCATAAGTTAGGATTAAGACTTTTTTTTTTCCAATTGTGAAAATAAAAAAAAAGGGGAGGGACTTAGGAAGGAGACCCATTTTTGAAAATGTATAAATTTGCTTAAGAATAAAAGGTAGGTAGGTATTTTTTGGACAGCACAGGAATAGGTGTCCATGATAATAGTTTTAAAATAGTTTCAACATAACTTTTAATGGCCAATATGTTAAGGGTTAAACATTTTGATATATTGGGACTTCAATCTGAACTAAGATCTAGGAACTAGAGTCTGAAATAAGTAGATGAATGGCTTTCAATTAATCAATTACCTACAAAATATGATTCAATCTACAAGCTATCTGCTTTTCATATCTCCTAAAGCCTCTCAAACATCTCAACACATTAATTTCCTTATACACAACATAAGCATCAGCTTGCAGCAAAGTACTTTCAAGAGTCTGCCTACAATACTATTTTACCAAATTAGAAAAAAAAGAATTAAAATCAGCTGCAGTGATGTATTTTTTAGTTGTACTCATATAAACATGAGTAACCTCCATAATGCTAGCACAGAGAAAATGTGTGTCAGCAGCATGGAAAAGACTGGTGGGCTAATCTCCTAGGATAAGCAAATACAAAATAAGAGATAATCACCTATACTTTTCTCTTTTTTCTAAGATTTAATTTATTTTTCTCCACTTTATAAATTTGGAAAAACAAAGGAACATAAGATAAAACTATAATCTGTGATAAGCTATTTACTAATGTTACCATCATTTACTTTTTGATGTTTGTCCTTCTATTTTCTGCACCTCCATTTCTAATTATATTCATAAACAAAACCATCTAATATATTCTCACCATCCAGAAACATGACTCTTACATTAACAGTGTAAGTCAACTGTATCATTATTATGACATTACTGTGAATAATAATAATGCCTCCAATACATGAATGGGAAACACTCAAAAATGCCTGTGCTATGACAAAGGATATGAAATCAGTGGACCTGGTGAAGCATCATACAAACTAATCTCTGTGTTGCCTTAGGAAATGTTCAGTGTTGAATGCTATTAATTATAACAGATAAAAGAAACTTGCAAGGAAAATTGCAAAGTCACTCATAATGACATTTACATTTATTTCTTATGTGACAGTATCTCATAGGGAATATGAAAGGCAAAAATAACATCAGAAGATGAACAGGGTGAAAAAAAGGATATTAACACACTTCATTCTTGTTACCATTTTAGTGATGACCCTGTATCACCAAAATGTTGGTTGCTATTTTCTAATTATATAAAAAATCTCAAACCTACCCTTGCACTTAGTGGAAAAACCATGTGAAAGAACATTTCAATTGAGGTCAAATCAAGAGATGACAGAGGGTTTTGTATTGTGACATGCTATAAGTGTCCTTTATGAAAAATGAAATGTTTTTCTGCTTTTTTTCCCTTCCTTAAAGAATCATCTTAGAAAAAATAACAAACTTCTGTGAGGCAATACTTTAAGTACTTGTGTGGAGAACACTTGCTAATTATTCTGTTCTTAAAGACCTGAATGACTTTATTTCTAAGGAATATATCTAGATGTTTTGGGTCTTTATTGATCAATCCAGACTTCCTTTAATTTTAGCTTACTTTTTCAGCTATGAAATTTTATATCAATAATAGAAAAAAATTCTTTAAAGATGTTTCCTTATTTAAGTTAATGAGTTAGGAATTCATGGAGTTAATAAACAAAAGCAGTTAAAGGAATGTGAATTATTTATCCAAGAGAAGAGAAAATGGAAAATTTCCTAAAGACCTCAATTATATTAAATTTTATTATAGGATTAGAGAGTAATTATGAGACTTTGTCAGGCTCTGCTTTATCAAGTTTCCTTTGTTCTGCACAGTATCCAGTATACTATAGATTCTTAGTAAGCAAAATATCAAGGATGAGTGGAACTGAACTATGAAAGCAAAGAATATATATTCCTCTTAGACTGTATGTTTTTTAGACAGATGACATCATCTACCTGCACACAGTCCTTAGCAAGCCTGCAAGCAAAATTATCTGCTTCCTTAGAAAGATGTAAACAGTAGAAGTTCCTAAGGGAGATATTTTATTTTTAATAAGCATGCCAAATCACAATGAATTATAATGAATGCATGATTATGATTAATAATAATGATATTGAGTGGGAAGCACTGATTAGAGGTACACTATATTATATAGAAGATGGAAAATGCATTAAAATTAGCTTGTAGGAGAAAAAAGGAAGTAAGTTGGTAAAATCTGGAGAATCACACAGGTCAAAACTTAAGAATAAATCTTATATAGAAGAGATGAAGGGAAAAAAAGAAAAGATAGTTAGAACCAGGAAATGAGTGTTTTTATTCTAACCATAAGAGTATGGACTATGTGTATCCTTCTTTTCTGTTAAGAAGGACATACATGGCTCATTCATAAGAGTAGTATATGTGAGCTTGTAATCTGTGAGAGTCTCCAGGTAATGCTAACTTTCGCTTTTTCTGCTTTAATTAATAAATCATGTAGTAGCATATCTAAAATGTATTGCCTGACAACGGGTTGTTACTTAGAAGTAATCCCCAGACCAAAAATTAGAAATACTAGACTGAAGAAAGCTAGATGTTTGTTTTCCATATGTATGTTAACATCCTACCCTAGCATTATCTCAGGTGACTGGGTCTTCCCAGAGAAAGAGGGGGTTTAACAGAAAGTCAAAGATAGTTACATAAAAATAGGTTAAACAAGTATCTTTTTGGAAGAAACAGTTACAGATGTTTTGAAACCTAACTATGTATCAGTAACCTAACTGCATATCAGCATTTGGTTATCTTTACAAAAAATTCAAAGGGGAGGTTCACCCTTAATCTACCCAATCTAATTGCTGAGAATGGGGCTTAAGAACTGATTATTTTAACAAGCTTCTGAGATGTTTCCATGGTAGCCTGCACAACACCATTTCACAGGAGCATCTTGGCCTGATATAAATTCCTTCAGTCTAATGTTGAAGTACATCCAAAACATTAGGTAAGCCATTTTTTATAAAATAAGCAAGAAGTTTTCAAACTTTTTTTCTAATAAACAATAATAAAATGTAAATAATGTCTCTAAATAGGATGCTAGATGAATGAATGCACAGGTAACATATTTCATTTAATCATACCACCAATTGATTTTAACAAACACCAAGTCAACTTAAATTATTTGTTGAACATTTAATGTGGGTAAAAAGCATGGTAGAGCCATGGTTTTGAAAGGCTGTATACCAATAGATTTTTTTTTTAGGATGGATTTTTTATATCCTATTGATATACATACTCACCCAGCATTATCTTAACAGGTTAAATTTCAACTGACCTTTTATCATTGAAACATAGCTTTCAGGTTTCCTGCCTCTTTACCTTCGGCATTTAAAACTTGATGATTTTGTATTTAAATCACCATTTAAATACTAAATTGTAAAGACCAGGGATATTTTCTATTGAAAAACATGCTTGAATCCTTTAAATAACTGAGCTCTTTATAGTTATTTAAAGATGATTCTCTTCCCCTTACCTCCATTTATTTTACAAACTCATTATTTTTAAGATTAGGCTTTCTTATGGTAGATTCTTAGTGCTCCTGAGTTGTGTGTGTTCTGAGAAAGACGTGTGCTACATAAAATGAAGAAACAGTCTTGGTTTCAAAATTAGTAAGAGGCAAATGATAATTTTAACAGCTTGCAACTCCATGGGCAATCAGAGCTAAAGTTGTTAATGATTAAGAAATCAAAGAAACTCTAATGCTTTAATAGCTGAGTATATGTATGAAACCTGTCACTGACATGGAAAACTTGGAAAATTATTAGGAATCTTCCCCCATGGGGTTAGTCATAGCTGTTAGTTAGAGTTGAACAGCTGTAACTTTACTGTAAAATAATATCTAATTCTGACAAAAATCACACATGTACAGATACTGAAGTTCAATAAGAGGCAAAGAACACTATATAGTTACCATCACATTCAGCTAATAGTGCCAGGTAGAAGGATTTTCAACAGACTAAACGTTTGGAAACGTCCCATTGAAGCAGGTGAAAAATGCACATGCAAAGTAAGAACTGTATATGCAAACGAAGTCATTATGTCTACAAACCCAGAAAGTACATAATCATTTCATTTGCATGAACAAATCTATATATTGAGTTCATAACTGGGGCAAGAGGCTAGACTCTTGAGATTCTCTGTGGAAAATTATAGAAAGTCTATAGATTACTTGAAGTCTGAAATGAATCAAATGATATAAACTTGAATAGATGAGAAAAAACAGTGAATGTGCATTTCATTCTTTCACAACAGTAAATGACTCCATGTCACACTGGGTATGACTATATCTAAATGACTTCTAATATTAACCCTCTGGTTAATGATAGTTATTCCCACTCATCAATTCATATTGTTGGCTTTTGGAGTATTTGTTTCTTTATCAGCTTTACATCTACAATTGGGCAAGGAGAGGAAGAAAAAATTAAATTCAAATGGGGTAGCTGTATTAATTATGGCAGTTTTAGTAGGAAATTGTGGCGAGGTAGGGCCAGGAGGAGGTTGAAGCTGTTGGTTAAAATAAAAACTGTGTATCATTCATTTAAGTAATATTTATGGAACATCAACAGACAATGTGCTCAGTGGTCTCCTAGCTGCTAAGGATGCAATGTTGAAAGAGGCAGACAGTTTCCTTGTCTCATGAATTTGTTCACTGAGTCCTCTTAGCATAAGTAATTATGGGTTAACTATATACAGCTAGTATATTCTTGTGAAATATATACATGGCACTTCTTTAATCTATAGCCACCCCTTTTTATTAAAGGGATTCTAGAGGAATACTCTTTAGAAT